GCCCTATAGGTGCCTCGACTGTCTTGCCACCGCTCCCGACACTTGCATTGCCCAGGAGCTAGAGCTGATGACACAGCAGTGGGAGGAGGCTAGCGTTCAGGCTGAACAGGCGACGGCGGATTACAAGGAGGCTGACGACGGCATAGGAGGCAAGTACTGTAGGACACGTCAAGATACTACCCCCCTACGGCCCTACGAGTATCGGAAGCAAGCAACTGCTGTAGGACACGTGAGGTACAACACGCACACACAGGCATCGGACGTAAGAAACTAGTGTAGGATACGTGAGATTCACATCCCCGGGTATCAGAGTTATGAACTGTAGGACGCGAAATACAACACGTAACACACACACACCGGTCGCCCCGGTGGGCTAGTGGGTAGCCTCGTAGCCTGTTAAGGGCCAGGTCATGGGTTCGAGTCCCGACAGAGTGAGTTTTTTCTCGCTTAAAACATCCTGGTCTCCGTTGGAAGCGACGCGCTTCAAAGCTCGCTGTTCGTAAAACCTGATCGACTTCATAAGTCGCGAGGGAAGGGATTGCTGCACCCTTCTCGCGATAAAAATACCTCAGGCATGAACCGCAGGAGGGGGTCCAACCCCCCCGTCCTATGTGACCCCGGTTGGGTCGTCTAGCTGGTAGAAGTGGAGGATAGGGGCCAGAGGGGCAGACGAAAGAATCCAATGATGGGAGAAAAACAACAACACAGGTATCGGACGTAACTGTTATGCTGTAGGACACGAAGGATACCACATCCCCCAGGTATCGGAAGTAAGGAACTAGAGAAGGCGCGCCCGCACTAACGAACCTCTAGTATTGGTTTTGGCCGAGGACGGGGTTCTTACCGTATTCCTAGGGTCATGCTACGAATGGCCGCTCTATAGGTTATTGTGGTGGGGTTCTGAACCGGGCTCACAATGTTGCCAAAGTTCTTGGATTTTGAGTGTCTATTAGGCTATATCAATTCATTCGTCAACTGCCAAGTTGTTAAGTACGGGCGCCGTGCTGCTGTAGGACACGTAAGATACCACACCATCCTACGACCGAACTTGAGGCTCTGTTACTCCGGGCATGCCAAAATCTCTCGACTAGACTGTTGTAACGCCGGCACTTTTCGGTGCCGTTACTGTTTGCTGCGGAGTTTGTCGTTGGCCTTCGAAAATTGTTCCCGCGGCGCGTGGCGTGTTGCGACGTACCGCAGTAGTAGCCAGCGAGACCATACCTGCCGCTGGTGTTGAGAGGTTGGCAGACCACCCACCTGTGCACTGCGGAGCGCTTTCGGGATGAAGCACTGTTTTTTGCCCCTATGCCATCAAAGGGTGTCGTATGGTTGTTTCCGTCCATGAATGAGGGTGCTCGCTTTTCACGCTGCTAACCCTTTGTGGGAGGAATTGTTCGCGCTGCCCGCCCCTCAAACGTGTCCATTGCCTCGCGCGGAGGAGTTCGAGTGTCCACTTGGCATTGCGGAGCACTTTCGGAATACTGTCGTGGCTGCGATATAGCATGAGAGGGTGGTGCGACCTTCTTGTGTCGGAGCTCTCTCTTGTACCGGAATAGGATATAGGAGAGTGCTCCACTATTCTCTAGAGAGTCGAGTCCGTGACAAACCGATTTCGAACCCCTTCTATCGGGACCCATTTTTTACGATGCTACCCTCTCAAATCAGACGCATGCCTGCAATGTGTTCTGCTTCCCCGGGCCTCAAACATGTACTGCGATACGGCTTCCTTCCCGTTGATGTTGACGCAGGCGTCCACGTTGCCCTCCTGAGCATCTTCGGAGTGGTCCTGGGCATCGGCATCGGCATCTGCATCAAGCCCTGCTTGGACCGGCACAACAAGATGCTCAATCAGAAGAGCCAAGCGTCCACCATATCGGGGGACCGCGGGCTGGAGGCGTGGTCTTCTGCCGCCAACAGGTGGGAGGGGAGGGATGCCCTTCGGTGTGGTTGCTGGCGGTATAATTTTGGACGTCACTTTTGGAAGTCGAACTCAAGCAACTAGACTGGTCAGTTGCTGCGTGCTGCCGGTGCTGGTGTCTTCGTTGGCGTTTTACTGGTGGTCGTTCCTTCAAAAGACGAATTGAAAATAGCTGGACTAGTCTAGTCAGTGCTGACCAGCCTTCTGACTTGATTCCGTGTCCTACATCGCTCTCCTGCACGTATGGTTTTGCATGCATGGCACTGTCAAACACAGTGCGTGAATTTCGCAAATGAATCTAGATCTTGGCGCCACTTGCCTCCGAGTCAACCCGAATGCCAAAAACGAAGCCAAGACGAGAATACAGTAGCGGCTACGGTTTAAGAGAGGATGGTGACTCCCCTATTTTTCTCTTCGATCGTGCTCTATCTAATACCGTGTTAGCTACGGTTTCAGAAAATATTATCCTATCCCGTGTTGGCTACGGTTTTACAGAAAAATCTCTTGAACCGTGCACGTGGTTTAGGAGAATATTATCTTACACCGTAGCATTGTAAGGGCCATGGAATATGGACGCTCCCGTTTCAACCAGGTATAGGATTTTTTGAAGGGCATGTAACTCATCATGTTACATCACGCCAGTTATTATAGCATCTTGGGCTAGCTCCACGCGCTGCCAAAAAATATGTTTCTTGGTCCTTGCTTGGTGAGCGGTGTACCCACCGCAAGCACTGGGTACACTCCTGATACCTGGGTCGGAAATGTATAATGAATGATGTCGTGTGATGACACATTTCGTTGCACGTTCGTTCGTTCTTTCGCTCTACGAACGGTGGTTTGTGAAATTTGGTGGGCCTAGGGTGTGATCGGGGGCCGCTGTGCAGCGTCTGCCTGCTGCGCAGGGCGTGTCGTCTGCAAGTTATCTGTGTGACGGCTACGTGGCTCTTGTTAGAGGTTCTGTTTAAGAGAAAATCTCAGAAAGATGGCAATATTTCTCTTCAGTCGATTTCGGTCGTGACAAGCCAGCTCGACTCTCTTAAATCGCTACTTTCTTAATATTTCCTCTTAAACCGTAGCCGCTACTGTACAAAAGTCCTGTCAGACTTGTTGTGCTTCACTCGCTATTTTACTACTTGACAAAAGTACGATGAGTATGCTTTGTCAGAGATAATGTGTCCCTTTGTGCGCGAGTGTGTGTGATGAACGCCTCATGTATTCGGTCTTTCCCATGTGGTTAGCGCTTAGAGGTATCAGTCAAGTTGAAGGCACCAACCCGTCTGCACGAAGAATGAGCTCAGTCCTCCGACTTGACTCCAATCGCCGTTGTACTATCCTTTGTCCCGTGCCCAAAACCGGAACGGTACCTTTCCGCAGCAACAACGGAAGCTTCCGGCTCGGGGCTAAGCACACCTCCACCCGACAAGTCGGAGGCAACCGCATGATGGCCGTGCCATCGGCACCAGACGACGACATGGACAGCTCGGGACGGATGGATGGCGGCGCTAACGGTGCCTACACCAACGGGAACGGTAGCGGCCAGTACGACATCGAAGAAGACTCGACCCCTGGGTGAGGAGAACGCCTATTATTTGTTGTTTTTCAATGGGTGGGGTCGATATGGATGGATGTGTGAGAGTTGTACCATCGTTTCTGGTTGCGATCTGTCGTCTCTTTCAGCCACGTTTTTGTTGTTGTGCAAAGCGAGTAAGCGACAAACGTATTCGTCATGCAACACTGCTTTTGATGGAATCGTTGCTATTCATTGTTGTTTCTAGACTTTTTTTTCTGAGCAGATGAGTTCGGTGTTTTGTGATTGTAAGAAATGAAGAGTATGACAAGCGTTTGACGTTGACGTTGACGTTTCACCGCAGAATTACTGTTTGCGGTAGTCGGGTATGTGTCTGTACCACGTTTCTGTCTCTCTAGTGGAAGGGTCACGCGTGTGTTTCTGACGCCCAAAAGGTGTCGGGTAGGGGTCGAAACGTGCTCATGTGGTGAGGCCGCCCGCCCGTAACAGACGGGCTTAACAGTGGTTGGTCTGTTTGCGTTGATATTGGTCGTGGCGTCCACCTTTAGGGGCCTTCAGGTCTTTGACTTGTCTCCGTCGTCGTTCGTTCTCCCTTCGTTTTTTTGTTTCAGGATCCCCGAGTTCGCACCGACCTCGGCACTGGGCGAGCCGGTTCCGTTCCCGCACAAGTAAGGGCATGTGTTGTTTTGGTGTCGTGTGGTGTGTCGTTGACGTACGCTGTGGTGTTCCGGGTCTTTGAAGTGCTCTCTCTCTCTTCGTCTCTGCTGCGAGCAAGGCAACGTTGTGTCGCACGCCAGTATACAAGTATACATTGATGACATGAGAGAGCGAGGACCTCGTCTCCACCCCGTGGAGGTGTGGACGTGAAGGGGACGCTATTGAATCTGTGAAGCAGGCGAGCACGCCGATCCAATACCGCTCTCTATCGCTGAAATCTGCAGTGGGGAGGGGGGATACATAGACAGGATGCAATTTATCCCGCCTGTGATAGACGGTGGACACAAAGAATCGACGGAAATAGGCCAGGTATGGTGGAGTCGGTGTTGGCCTAAGGCGTAAACTCGTGTTGACAGCAGTTCATAGACGACCACGAAGTCGGATTTTTGTCGGGCCTGTTCGTCGCTGTAAGGGGGGCTGTCACCACCTCCTCCGTCTTTTCTACGAGGGCAAATAGAGGCACAGGTCACGACACTCGCTTGCTCTCGCCCGCTAGACGGTCCTGGGCTTGATTCAATTCATGGTCTGATAAGGCTCTTTGCTTCCTTGTGGGAGACACCGTTGGTTGCAAAAGGCACCTTCCCCACCCCCGGGACCTGATTTTCGGAGCTCCAACTGCTCCACGGCGAAGAGGACGCAAGAATTCATTGATTCACATGTTTTGGACAAGGTCTCAACGCGGCGGCTCCAACCCCCCGCCATTCTCGGAGCCGTGGATGTTTTCGCACTCGGTGCGGGGGTGTGGGGGTGTGGTGTATTACGTATGCAACCTGTGGTATGCTTGACGAAGCGTGGCCAAAATACGTGGGCGGTGCGGTATACGCATGCCCTTAGCTTTTCTACTGTAGTACTTCGGTATACGCACGCCCTTGGCTTTTATACTGTAGTAGCTCGGTATACGCACGCCCTTAGCTTTTCTACTGTAGTACTTCGGTATACGCACGCCCTTAGCTTTTATACTGTAGTACTTCGGTATACGCACGCCCTTAGCTTTTATACTGTAGTACTTCGGTATACGCACGCCCTTAGCTTTTATACTGTAGTACTTCGGTATACGCACGCCCTTAGCTTTTATACTGTAGTACTTCGGTATACGCACGCCCTTAGCTTTTATACTGTAGTACTTCGGTATACGCACGCCCTTAGCTTTTATACTGTAGTACTTCGGTATACGCACGCCCTTAGCTTTTATACTGTAGTACTTCGGTATACGCACGCCCTTAGCTTTTATACTGTAGTACTTCGGTATACGCACGCCCTTAGCTTTTATACTGTAGTACTTCGGTATACGCACGCCCTTAGCTTTTATACTGTAGTACTTCGGTATACGCACGCCCTTAGCTTTTATACTGTAGTACTTCGGTATACGCACGCCCTTAGCTTTTATACTGTAGTACTTCGGTATACGCACGCCCTTAGCTTTTATACTGTAGTACTTCGGTATACGCACGCCCTTAGCTTTTATACTGTAGTACTTCGGTATACGCACGCCCTTAGCTTTTATACTGTAGTACTTCGGTATACGCACGCCCTTAGCTTTTATACTGTAGTACTTCGGTATACGCACGCCCTTAGCTTTTATACTGTAGTACTTCGGTATACGCACGCCCTCAGCTTTTATACTGTAGTACTTGGGTATACGCACGCCCTCAGCCTTCTACTGTAGCGGTCATGCATGCTTATGTGCCCCCCCCTCCTCCCTCCCCTCCCGTCCTCATGCTTGCGGTGGTTGAAAGGCGGCAAGCATCGGGAATGGTTTCCGGCGTGGACTCGAGCATGATGTCAGGCATCGACGCCGACGACGTAGACGACGATGACGTCGCGGGAGGCGGCACTTCGCGTGAGTTGCTCCACTTCCAGTAACAAGGCCTCCCCGACACGCACGCGCGAACAAAAAAAAAAAACGAAACGAAAATGTAGAATACCATACACCACCACCACTCCATACCCCCCGGCACCGCGACAAAAGCGACACAGCACAGAATCTCCGAAAGCGGCGATCGTGCGAGAGGACGAAGGCTCTTCGGCATGGGACGATCGTGCGCGCGCGCGCTCTCTCTCCCTCTCTCTCTCTCGGTCCCTCCCCGCTGGAGCTATCCCGCTGCTGCTGCCGCTCCTGCTGCTGCTGCTGCTGCGCTACTCTCGAGCGAGCGATAGGGAGCGCAAATAGGGTAGTGGGCGGGCGGCTAGTTCGAATTTTTTAGTTTTTTACTTGCCCGTCCGGTTTACTTGTTGTCGTTCGAGTAGGTGTTCTGCTGGAGGGGCTCGGGGCCAGCAGATCACACCATGGGTTAGGATGGCACCGTTTTTTATTGTTCCTTGTGTCTTTCGGCATAGGCATGGCGGCGATGTTCGTCGATCCCCGCCCCCCGATATTTGAGATCTACGCTACAGAGAGAGAGAGAGATAATAGCGTTCGAAAGATTATAGTACCGTGTCATGTGTCTGTTTCTTGCTTTGTTGCAATGGGTTATCTGTAACTGCAGCGGTAGGCGCGTATACCGATGCAGGAAGGAGTTGTTGGTTGGTGCGGTTTTCAAGTTTGACTTTTCCTTTGTTGGTTTCGGCGTTGTTTTGTCGTCCCCCAGCCCCACGTTTTTTCGGGGTCTGTCGTAGGTCGTGGGCTTACTGTCGTTGTGTTACTCCTGTCTGCCATCAGGACCATCAACTGGTTTATCCCTTACACCTGGTAGCCAAGATTTATTCGTGTTTTGGGACACTGGAACGGCTCATTCATCTGTGTCAGGAACTTTCTAAAAAACCTAGAAGTGTCGTGCTGGAGCGTAAGGGACTATGACAGGGCAAGGATAGAAGTAGCCGACGGCGCGGGGGGGGGGGGGGGGNGGGGGGGGGGGGGGGGGGGGGGGGGGGGGGGGGGGGGGGGGTATGCGGAGTGGAACAGTGTGTGTTTTCTGGCATGTGTTTTGAAGTGTTTTGCGTTCGTGGAATCACTTTCAATCTGTATCTGGGGTTACCGGCCTGTGGTATATGCCCGTCTGGCGGTGCAACGGCAAATTATCTGGAACACAACTGCTGTAGTAGCAGTTCCGGCCGCATTTTCAAGGCCAAGGCCGGGCGTCCGGCGTTAGGCCGGTGATTTCGATGGACGACACGCGTCAATAGCCTTACCTTCCTTTGGCTGGGTTCTTCGATTATGTAGACATGCTGGACAAGCGTGCAGTCGGGGAAGTTGGGTTAGGAATAGCGTTAGGGACATTGAGGGTCTGCGTACCCCCTGCCTCTTGTATTTCCTCATCAGCTTTATTTTCTCGCGAAGGCCATCCACACAGGTGGAGCAACCAAGCTGTCGCGTGCTCTCAAAAGTTGCCGGGTGCCTGATATATGGCCGGCCAACTCCCTTGCCATTGTTCGGCCTTGGGTCTTACGGCCAGTTCCTTTGCCATTGTCCGGCCTTGGGTCGTGCTCAGCCTTGTACAATACAGGACCCTAAGGCATTTGCCCTTGGTTTTTTCTCCGCCGTATCTGCTTGTTGTCTTTTGATATCTCGTGTTGAGGTGCCGAGTCAGCGAGTCTTTGAGACGGACCGCATGGGATCACGACTTGCAGGTAGCCGCACCGGTCTCACCCCATAGCATTTTTGGTGTTGGCAACTCTCTCTCGCGGAAGAGATCTTACTTCATGGTTGTTTTTATGGCCTTCTCGGGTTGGGAGATTGTTGATGCTTCTTTCAGGTTGAGTGTCTTGCCCCTTTCGGCGAAATGATTGAAGCGGGGATTGGACCGGACTGGGAGTAATTCCATGGTAAGCAAAAATAAAGGGGGTTGTGACCGTTTCTGCCCCGTATGATGTACACCGTGGTAGAATTGAAGGAATCGCCGTCAAGAGGATGGTTGGGACTATGGAAAGCGCGCATGTGTGAAAATCATGCGAGCGTTTTGTCACCACCGAGGAAGAAGAAGCGGGAAGTCTTCCTCGACGAGTTTTTCGGTGCGCGTTTTGCTTTTTGTTGACGTTTTTCCGAGAGGGGATGGTCCCCTTTCGTCCCCCTCCGCCCCTTCAGCTCCGTCAGAGATAAGGCGTGTATTCGCGTCTAGGTAGCAGCTGAGATACCTTTAGGCGAGAAGGGACACTTTGTAGTTGCGTCGTTTCTCTCCACATCACTGCGGTGATTGTGCGAGGGCGGGGGGGGAGACCAGACGTGACGTTTCTTGTCAAAGGTTGACGGGCGTTGAGCTCCGAATCGGTTGTGGAATGAACAGAGTATCACTCTTCTGGTTGATGTAGCGTTTTGCCAGAACGGTCGGTCATGTGCATCGCCTGCTGCGTCCTGCTGGGAGCGGTCGTTGCTGTGGCTAGTCGCGCGGAAGAGTGTGTTTTGGAGTGCAACAGCGGCAGCCGTCGTGGTTTCGCTCTCGGTGACGACACTTGCTGACGAGAAGATTCGTCCTTCGTTTCCCCGTCGAGAAAAGAACGGCTCCCGCATGAACAGAAATTTCGCCGATCTGGCTTGTTCGCCAACCGTGCCAAGGGGGGGGGGGGGG